GATACCGTGGTTTGTGCTTATAATCCCAGTATTTGGGGAAGCTAAGGTGGGAGGATTGCTTTAAGGTAGGAGTTTGAGGCCAGCCAGGGCAACATAGTAAGAAACTGCCTTTATAGCAAATTTAGAAAAGAATGTCCAGTTGTGGTAGTGCATGTGCCTGTAGTAGTCTTAGCTACTCAGAGGCCAAGGCAAGGATATCACTTTAGCCCAGAAGTTGAGGCTATAGGGTGCTATGCTTTTGTCACTGTACTCCAGCCTGGGTGACAGAACAAGATAACTTCTCCAAAAATAAAAATATAAGCAATTAAAGCTATAAATTTCTCTCAAGAATTGCTTGTGTCACATAAGTTTTTGTATGTTGTGTTTTCATTTTTATTTATCTCTAAATATTTTATGGTTTCTCTTGTGATTTTGACTCATTATTTCTGAGTATACTATTTTATTTCCACATATTTGTGAAATTTCTCAATATTTTGTTTTTAATTTCAAGTTTTTCTCCATTGTGGTTGATGTAAAATCTTACATCATATTCTGTATGATTTTAATTCTTTTAAACTTACTGAAGCTCATTTTATGGCTTAGCATGTAACTATCTTAGAAAGTGTTTCATGTGCACTGGAGAGGAATGTACGTTGTGCTATTGTTGCTGTGTTCTAGAGGTCTCTGTTAGGTCTAGTTGGTTTATGCTGTTGCTCAAGTCTTCCATCCCTACTGACCTTCTACCTGCTTCTTCTCTCCAACAGTGAAGGTGTGCAAATGAAGTTTCTGATGATTACTGTTGCACTATCTATTTCTTCCCTCAGATTTTGCTTTATGTGTTTTGGGGCCCTGTTGTTAGATGGATATATGTCCATAAATGTTATAATGTCCTAATGGATTGACCTTTTCATCTTTATAAAATGATATTTATTTCTGTCAACCAGTTTATAAAGTCTATTTTGTCTGGTACTAGTATAGCCATTCTTGGCATTTTACAGTTCTCTTGCAATGGTATATCTTTTCCTAGTTTTTTGTTTCAACCTGTTTGTAATGTTGAATCTACAGTGTGTCACCTGTAGACAGCATATAGTTGGATCTTATATTTTTGTGAAGTCTGATAACCTTTGCCTTTCTGTACCTGGCTCATTTCATTTAATATAATGTTCTCCAAGTACATCCATGTTGTCATTCTTAATACATTCTTTTAAATGTATTAAGATGATTATGTGGTTCTGCTCATTATAATATTGATCTGGATTGATATGGTATATTACATTACTGATTTCCATATGTTGCATTACCTTTGCATTCCTATAATAAAACCCACTGGGTAGGTAATGATGTGTAATTCTTTTAATATGCATATGCTGTAGGATTTCAATTTTCTAGTATTTAGTTGAGGATTTTTGTGTCTATATTCATAAAAGATAAGTTTTTTTTTTTTTGAGACAGAGCCTCAAGCTGTCCCCCTGGGTAGAGTGCTAAGGCATCACAGCTCACAGCAACCTCCATCTCCTGGGCTCAATTGAGTCTCCTGCCTCAGCCTCCCAAGTAGCTGGGACCACAGGTGCCCGCCACACACTCAGCTATTTTTTGGTTGCAGCCATCATTGTTGTTTAGTGGGCCTGGGCTGGATTCAAACCCACCACCTTAGGTATATGTGGCTGGCGCCTTAGCCACTTGAGCCACAGGTACCGAGCCAAAAGATAAGTTTTATTAACATATGTTAAGTAGCTCAATTTAGCCATTCCACCATGTATATGTTTCAAAGAATCATGTTGTACATGATAAATATATACAATTTTTATTTGTCAATTTAAAATTTTAAAAAAGAAATAAGAATTCTGAATAGATCTATGACAAGTAAAGAGAATAGATGGCTTACTAGTGAATTCTACCAAACATTTAATTGTATGTTTAATGAATAAAATAAGCATAACACTCTGAAAAGTGGAGAAAAAAAGGCCAACTGGCTAGAGCCATCTGGAGCCCTCAGGAGCCATGAGCATAGTTGTGAGTTCCCTGGGTTTTCTTTGCATCTCCTATGTACTAGATTGGGTGATGGAAAAGCTGGTGACCTAGAAACACCTATGAGTGCAAATCCCAAAACACCAACAAAATTCTGCTCTTTCTGGATAGTGGACCAGAAACAGGAAAGTTGTAGAAAACTTTTAGACCATAACTCTATTCCAGCCAGACACCACAGAAGAAAATTATAACCTCACTCTCACCCGTGCCAACAACGTTCAAGTTGGGAGCATAGACTTTTACACTGGCTAGAATTCAGGCGTCCTCAAACTACAGCCTGTGGGCCACATAAGGCCCGCCTAGGACATTTATCCAGTCTGCTGAGTGTTTTTGCCACTGCTGCCTGTCCTACTTAGCAGCCGACTCATCCTGGGGCCCGTAGTCCATCCCTCCAACGGTCTGAGGGACAGTGAACTGGACCCCTGTTTAAAAAGTTTGAGGATCCCTGGGCTAGATGGTAATGAACCCTCCTGTATGTACCTTACCACCACCCCACAGAGTCAGTGAAGAATATGTGGTAGACCTGAACCACCCCACTGTAATAAGCAGTCTCCCCTTACTTGCTGGGTGGGGTCAGGAAGTCAGGGCATTGCCATCATCCCCATTGAAGGGGAAATCAAGACATTCTCAAAGGAAAGAAATTAAGAAAACGTGTGCCAGCTGGTATAACTAAAATGCAACCTAAAAAATGGCTAAAGGAAGTTCTCTAAACAGAAAGGACAGAATTAAAGAAACTCAGGACATCAGGAAGGAAGAACATGGTAAGCAAAACCACGGGTAGATGCAACAGACTTTCCTTTCCTTTTGAGTTTTCTAAATTATGTTTTATGGTGGAAGCAAACACTCTGACACTATAACACACCCTATTATAATACTATTTGCTGTATATTTGATTGGAATTGTTAAAATATTTATATTACTAATAGGGAAGAGTAAAAGTGTGCAATGGGAGGCAACCTTTCTAAACTTCACTCAAGTAGGTAAAATGACAACACTAGTAGACTATGATAAGTGGTGTATCTAGAACATATTTCTAAGAGTAACCACGAAAAACTTCACACTTAAAAACTCTATAGATAAATCAAAATTTTATTTTTTAAAGAACTTCAAGTAGACTATACAAAAGCAAGTGAAAGAAAACAAAGAAATGAAAAGTAGAGAGAACAAATGGAGGACAGAAAATAAAATGGCATATTTGTGCACTAAGATACCAATAATTACGTTATGTTTCAATGGACTGAATACACCAAAGAAGACAGAGATTGGCAGAATGGATGTTTTGATACATATATTCAATACATAATGATCAAAATAGAGTAATTGGCATATCCATTAGCTCGTATCATTTCATTGTGGTGAGAACATTCAAAATCCTCTCTTCTAGTTATTTTGAAATATACAATATGTTTTTGTTAACTGGTCACCCTGCTGTTCAAGGGAACACTAGAACTTACCCCTCTTGTCTGACTGTAAATTTGTACCCCTTCCCATCCCTCTCCCTGCTACCCTTCTTGGTCTCTGGTGATCACTGTCCTTTAAGTAAGAATTTTTAACAAATGCTCATAGTTTTCTGGCTTGGAACACCCACATTTTATTTCACGAGGCAAAAACTAAGAACAGACTCATGTACACATTAGAAGGCTTTACTCATGGTATTACATTATACTCTCTATACAGAGATACTTAGCTTTTATGAGAACCTCTGACTGTGAATTCTTCTGTATGATTTTCTAGGTCTAGTTCATTCTTGAGGCTCCCCTTAGTCCTCATGAAAGACTGGGAACATGGTGAGCACGAGACCATTAAGCCGATTCTGACGTTGTCATAGGCACTGACCATGGCAGTTACTTCCCCTCCTAATTAGTATTTTGAAAGTCAAAGCAAAATCAAGAAACATTTATTGACTATTACTTTCTATAAGATACCATATGAGGTTTTGGGCAGTGTGAGAACAAGCAGCATTGCCCACCCCGTGCCCTCAAGTAGCAATCTACTATCCATACAAACGTAACTATATTCAATATTAATACCTTCAGTAAAGATTTTGACTAATGGTGCAAGGTGTGGAAAAATAGTTTGCCCTGCATGAAATGAGTTATATCGCAATACTTGATCTGAATTCAGCAGAGGGAGAAAATAATTCAAGCTCAAGTCACAAAAGGAAACTTCAATTGTAGAAAGGACATGGGGTGAGAGAGCATCCAGGCTCAGAGGCTGCTTTCCAATTTTCTAAAGAAATAACCTCTCTATCATTTAAATTGTTCCCAAGGATCGGAATTACCATCAAGCAATATGTTAATTTTCTAATTATAGAATTCTCGAAAGCAATTTCAGAATACTTTTTCTTGCCCTCCCTGGCCCTGCCAATCCCAAACCCCATGCTGCAGGGTGAAGGCTCTGCCAGGAAAAACGCCAAGGAGCTTTCTTGCTATTCCCCACAAGTGTCTTTGGCTTCAACTTCAGAAACTGTCGTGGTGAATAAAGCTTCATGGGCCGCAGTCAATAGAAAGAGCTAATAAATGCTTTTCTCCCCCAAGGGAAGACAGCAGGCACATTTGTCACAGTGTCACTCTGAGAAGTTGAAAAGCTGGCTTAGATTCCTTGAAAAGGGCAGTAAGCTTCCTGATTTACAGCACACAGCCTCTGTCTGTGTGCTCTCAGATGCCTTTCTTAGGTAGGATGGCTCTATCACAGTGTGAGGAGCGTGGGAGAAAGGGGTGGAAGCGGACCAAGCACTGGGCTGGCGTTTAGAGTCTCTGGCTTCCAACAACTGCTGATTAATTACTTCACGGCCCTCTAAAAATGAACGGGACACGTTTACTTTCTGTGCCTGTCCATAGGTCTACTCAGGGATCGTAGATTGATTGTAATTCTGCATAGATAAAACGTCGTATTCTATAATACATATTTTCAAATCCCTCTGTACACACAAATGTAATTCTTGGGAGCTTGATCCTACTTGTAAGTCTTAACGTTTTTTCTTTCTTTTGAAGATTGCTGGACATTGAAAGTGAAATGATCAAATTTGCCAGTTACTATGCTGGAATCGCGGTCGCGGTCCTCATTTCAGGTTATATTCAAGTGAGTAGCTCCTCCATGTATTTATAGATGAACATTTGGGCTCAAAGACATGGCAACGAAATGCAAAGTGTTGTCCCCCTTTAAGCTATTCAGAAGCCCTAAACACTCCAGGTGGGAGTCGGAGGACATGAGAGAATGGGGAGGGATTCTCCTCTCAGCTGGATGATGGAAGAGGCTGTGAGCAGGTGTTTGGCTAAGACAACTCACATGGCGAGCCCGGTGCCCTGGCCTCCCCTGTGCTTCCCTCCTGTACCCTCTCTTCCACACCCAGAAATGGGGAGTGTGGATAAGTGTGTAGGGGGAGAGTGAGCACCTGGAGAAAGCCAGGAAAGTGGAGACAGAGCAAAACAAAATTGACTTTCTTTTCCTCTGACCTTGCTCACGTCTCCCTAAGCTGTATTCCAATCCAAATTCCACAAAGCTGAATCTAGAGCATAGTCTAGATTTAAGAGACAGAAGGGCTTGGGGTTACTTAGCCCTTTTACTTTTTGTGCTTTCTTTTGTAGAAAAAAATAATGAATTCCCTCCCTTGCATTCAAGAATGCCAGGTAGTGTGAGTTGTAAAGAGAAATGAATCCATTTTTCCCATTCTGGCATTTTGAGTTTTAATGAAAGGCTTAGTGTTTTTTTAGTTAGAGAAAATCTCTGAGCAAATCAGATTCCCTGCTTGTGTTAGAAATGTTGTCTTCCGTTTCCTGAAAACTGCACATGAATGCTTCTGGGCAGCATCGAGGGGAAAAATTCCCTCCCAAAATGGTATGACAAAAGGTGACTTAAGATCAATAGTGTCTTACTTTGAGTGCCTTCTTTTACATATGAAGTGAAACCCACTGGGTCAAGTTCAAAAGCTGGGGGCCTACTTAAGTGTCAGGGCTAGAATCAAGCCCGAATCTCTGGTTACCTTGTCCAAAGTTGTTCTCACCCCCACTTGGAGGAGCAGATGCTAGAGCTCAGACCTTAGTTCCCAAGAAGCAGCAGGTGGTGCATTTCCCTTTTTTTCTCAACTGTGGTATTGAAAGTATTTTCTTCTGAAAAGAGAAGAAGGAATTGGCAAATATTTGTAACACTGTGATACTAAACATTCCTCTGTCCATTTCCAGATATGCTTCTGGGTAATGGCTGCAGCTCGTCAGATACAGAACATGAGAAAAATTTACTTTAGGAGAATAATGAGGATGGAAATAGGATGGTTTGACTGCAATTCAGTGGGGGAGCTGAATACAAGATTCTCAGAGTAAGTAGCTGGGGGAACAATTTTTTTAGGATACTAGAACTCTTGCTGATGAATCATAAAACAATTTTAGAGCATTTTTTAGTTATTTTTGATACATTTGGTCTCTCGCCCTCATGGGTGGCATGGCTTTTTCAAAGGCAATGCCTTACCAAATATGATCATTAAAAATTGAAAGCCAAGCTACTGCAATTTGGTTTGTAGGGCTTGATAAAAGTATTAGAAATGAAGTGTCATAGAAGAGAGTTGAAAGCATTATTTGGCCTTAGAAGGAGAAATTGAGGGATGTCACAACCTGCGTATATACAAGGAAAAACAATACAATTAAAAATACTTACCTTGCTATGTCTAGGGAGGCAACTGCTACACATTAAAAAAAATCCAAATATAGTTTGAGATATATTAAAACTAAAAAACTGGACTTAAATCCAGTTTATACCTAAAGATTAGTTTGAGTCATTACTAGCCCCCCAGCAATTCTGAATAAGAGTAATTAGAATCAGTTGAACCCCATTGAATTGGACTTTGGGGTCCCTGAAGGACAGTCACTGTATAGTGAAGAGAAAGCAGACTGAAAGTTGAGACCCCTCGATCCAGCACTTACTCTGCTCCTTACTTCCTGTGACCTGGGACAGTTATTTGACCTTGCTGGAATATAATGGTCTACTCTCTGGCTAATGTCTTTAATCCATTTTTGCTATTAATTCCCAAGCCTTATTTGTTTCATTTGGACAAGAGATTAAGGAAATGTCTCAGGCGTATGAATTTAGTATATTATATTCAATCAGTATTCTAGAGGACTTACCTTGTATTCCTGCTCTTAACAGGAAGAATAAGAAAAACAGGCAAATAAATAATCAAAGCTAACCCATACTGATTTCTTATTATATGATAGGCACTGTCCAACATGCTTCACAATATTAACTAATCTTCATGACTACCCATCCACTGGGGTAAGGTTCTATAATTATCTCCACTTTACAGATGAGGAAACTGAGGCACAAAAAGGTTAAGTAATTTGTTCAAGATGAGTTTGTATTCAAATTGAGAGTCTGGCTCCAGAGTCTGTGCTTTTAACCACTGTTCTATACTATCATCAAATAGAATGCAATAATTATACACACATGTTTGTGCAAACAGGGGTTAATTATTAACAATACATTAATAGCAATATGTTATCATAATATATTAATATAAGTAATATAATCCATATATTAATCAAAATATTATTGATACATTGCTATGGAAGCATAGGGAGGAAGGTACTACTCCTTCCTGGGGAATTATATAAGGGTTATGAATCAGAGGGTATGTGAATAGGACCCAGGCGTCCTCAAACTACAGCCTGCAGGCCACATGTGGCCCCCCTAGGACATTTATCCAGCCTGCTGGGTGTTTTTGCTGCCACTGCCTGTCCTGCTTAGCAGCCGACTCGTCCCAGGGCCTACAGTCTGGCCCTCCAATGGTCTGAGGGACAGTGAATTGGCCCCCTGTTTAAAAAGTTTGAGGACCCCTGATAGAGGCTGCAAGAATTTAGTAGGCATGAAGAAAGAAAGAAGGGCCCTGCAGAACAGACCAAGGATATTAGCTATAAGGAAGAAACAAATTAGGTAGTTTCCAGAATCCTTTATTAGCATTGAGTGGATACCAAACGAGAAAGCTGGGTAAGGAGGAACTCGGCTGGCTATGAGGAGAGAGGCTTGACAACATCCTTAGGGGACGCAAACTTTCCAGGATTTGAGAAGGAGTGTGCAGATGGGAATGTTTAGAAAGGAAAGAGTTAGATTTTTCCGCAAGACATTTGAATGACCAAATTCAGTTTTAATGACCAAAGTCTTTCTTGTTTCCAGTGATATTAATAAAATCAATGATGCCATAGCTGACCAAATGGCCATTTTCATTCAGCGCATGACCACGACCATCTGTGGTTTCCTGTTGGGATTTTACAGGGGTTGGAAACTGACCTTGGTTATTATTTCTGTCAGCCCTCTGATAGGGATTGGAGCAGCCATCATTGGTCTGGTAAGATGTCCTTTTGCATCTCTCCATAGGAAGACATTTACACTAATGAATAGCCAAAAATAGCCAGGTGAAACTTGAGTCCCTTTACCTGAGTATGTTTAGTCAACATAATTATCATTATTGTTATTATTATTGTCTAACAATGAGGTCTCTCTCTGTTGCCCAAGCTAGAGGGTAGTGGCAGGATCGTAGCTCACAGCAACTTAAAACTCCTGAGCTCAAATGATCTCCCTAAATCTTCTGAGTAGCTAGGACTACAGGCACATGCCACCATACCTGCTTATTTTTTTCTGTTTTTGGTAGAAATGAGGTCTCACTATTTGCCCAGGCTGGTCTCAAACTCCTGGCCTCAAGCAATCCTCCCATCTTGGCCTCTCAAAAAGCTGGGATAACTGTCATGAGCCACTGCACCTGGTCAATTTATCACTATTTTGATTTTATTTTGTTTGACTATTCCTCAGTGCCAGATAACATTCCATAGAGTATGGATTAATGATGTTTTAATAAGGTAAATATTGTTTTATTAATGGTAAACAACTACATTTTTTTGGAGCATCTACTATTTTCCCAGGCATATTAGGAGCTTCATATTCATTATCTCTAATCCTTATAACAACTTTATAAAGTAAGTACTAGCACCATTTTAAATATAAGAAACTGAGGCTCAGAGAGGTCAAGGGTCTTGTCTGTGACTGCACAGCTGGATCCAAATTCAAGGGAGCCTGACTTCAAATCACAGCGCATACTCCAATATGCCTATTGCTCCCCAAATTCTCCCAAGCTCAGATACTCACCTCTAAAAGACACAACAAACGTGCTCGGATCAGTAACAAGCACATAAAAAAGATTCCTGCAATCACAGCTGTGTTTTCCATTTTATCTGATCACTTTCAGAGAGAGGTTATCTGACCCAGTCTGAGTGTCATCTTTGTTACAGTCTCTGTCCCCAGGTGTTCAGGCCAAGACGAAGTGTGTAGAAGTAGGAATTTGGGGTCACTCCAGTTAAAAACACTCACTGCCGAACTGAGAAATGATTCATACTTTTAAAGCATCCTTGTTAGGCAGCAGGTTAGAGAATCAGACACACTAATAATTTGCTGTAAAGGAGAATAGAGTTCAAGTGAAGAACTGCACACATGCTCACGCATCCTTCAGCAATAGGTACCAACCTCCATGATAACATTTTCTAGCAAAATATTCCTATAATCCATTGGCTATATTATGCAAACCTAGGTAATATAGACAATATTTTTACGTGACAGTAGCAAAGAGCTCATTCTACTCCACTAGGTCAACACCTGGCACTACCACTAACAGATAGTGTGACTCAAGAAAAATATATTTAACCCACAAAAGCCTCAGTTTCCTCACATTTCCAATAGCAATAATACCTCCTAAAGTCATTATGCTGATTCAGGGAATAATGCACACTGTGCTCTTAAGCAGTGGCTGGCTCAGAATCAGTTGCTCAGGAGAGATTTTGTTTTTTCCAATCCACTGAATCATGTAAGGTTTACGACAGGCTTTCCTACCAATCACTGACCAGCTGTGCTCAGGGAACCCCTCGACTTCCAGAGAGGGAAGTCAGGGATTTTGTAAACATTTGATTCTTCATTTTCTTCCTAATATATTTAATCTCTTTCTTCAACCCCGTGACTAAATTATTATCCACACTCAAATGGATCATAGGCCACGTTTTAATATGTTAGTGACCCCAAACATAACCTGGTTAACTTGCTTTCAAATAGACTTAGAATTAGTTTGTCTTGCTGCCTCAGTGCCTGTTTCTAACTCCTTGTGAGCCTGTCCCTGATTTGGAATTTGTAGCTCGGCACTTGTCTTTTCTTGCTTTCAGGTCTGTGCACGTTTGTTCCTGTGTATCATACAACAATTCCCTCCAATTCAGGGGCGTGACAAACACAGGCAAAGGCATACGGCATATGACGCATTAGAAAATGTCAGGGGTTTTATAGGCTTTTGTTTGAGTTTTTAATTTATGATGAGAAACGAGAAATGGTTAGGTTTTTCTTTTCTTTTTTATTAAACCATATCCGTGTACATTAATGCAATTATAGGGTACAATGTGCTGGTTTTATATACAATTTGAAATACTTTCATCAAACTGGTTAACATAGCTTTCGCCACATTTTCTTAGTTATTGTGTTAAGACATGTATATTCTGCACTTAGTAGATTTAACATGTGCCATAGGTGTGGTCCCACCTATTACCCTCCCTCCACCCATCCTCTCCCCTCCTCTCCCCTCCCCCTCCTCTTTCCTCTTCATCTTGGGCTATAGTTGGGTTATGGTTAGATTTTTCCTAACAGTTCCCCAACATCTCTGAAGTTGCTCTGTCAGTTTAATTGATGTGTCCTGAGGTTATTTAATGTGCCATTACAATACATGTAAAAACAGATATCACTCACAATTACTTAGTTTTCTTGTTATTGTGCTGCTCATACATATTTTAGGAATTAATTAGATGAGGAGTGAGATTAAGAACTACAGTGTCATCCATAAGGCCCATATGCAAATTTTAATGTTAATGAAAATACCTTCATTTTCCGTACTGTTACCTTTTCAATTCACAAATTTGATGCAATGTGGATGGATGAAATAAATATATTGTTTTATAACTATTTTTATCTATTTTGTATCTTAGAATTCTAAGATTTTAAGAGTTTTGCTGCTAAAAGTTTGTAAAAACTATTGGGAGATAAACTCCCTTAGTCTGGGTATATATTTTCTAGATTTCTGAGTCAGCTGATCTTCCACAAGGTTTGCTTTTTCACCTTCTTGTTTTTTAATCTGTGCCAGAGATTTCTTTAGGAATTAATTTGACTAGGGCTCAATCAAGTCCAAGTTTAGAAAAAGTTACTGGTCTACCCTTAAGCACAGATGTCTTTTCATTTCCTTTTGTAAAAATCAAAACTATAATAGTTGTTCCCACCTGTCCCCCGGCTGAGTCACAATGGCATAATATGTACATGAAGCTTTTGTCTCTGGAATTCCTCTGCAATATTATGCCTTTGTGTGTTCCTGTCTTTTCTCTCATTCTATACATTACTGAACTATGATATGTACTTAGGCCTCTGGTCTTTGCCTCTGGTGTTTATAAATTGTGCAATACTTTTGGCTAAATAATGAACTATAACATAGTTTGACTTGAAAACTTTTTTAGTGTAATAACAAACAATTTAGTCTTACAGAATGACCTATGTGGGAATCAGTGAGAGAATTCTTGAATTTAGTGGAGTCATTTTCATACATCAACAACCAAACACACCTGGATAAGGCTTCATATAGACCAAATTGGGACCAAATTCCTTCTTCCTGTGAATGGTGTTACAGTTAGAATCTTGTCTTGTATTAAACCATACCATGTGTTTACTCTGTTAAATAAATTACCAAAAGACAGGCTGACTTACCTAATCCCATGGTCTTCATGGTTTTCTTTTCTTCTTTTGGATTTCAGAGTGTGTCTAAGTTTACAGACTATGAGCTGAAGGCCTATGCCAAAGCAGGGTCAGTGGCTGATGAAGTCATTTCATCCATGCGAACAGTGGCTGCTTTTGGTGGTGAGGAAAGAGAGGTCAAAAGGTTAGTTAATTGGAATGTCTGCCCCTTTCCCAAATTTCATCAATCAGCAAAGTACCCTGAATCTTACCCGGTTCTTATAAAGTAGCAGATCCACCTCGGTCTGTGGCACCCTGAGGGAGCACTCATTTAAGAGGTAGGAGAGTAGTTTAGATGAGTCAAAGCCCTGTAAGAAGTCTCAAGTCTTTAGCAATCCATTTTTAAAGATGTGACAGTTCATGATTTTTAGAAAGTCAACTTAGGTTAGATATTTATTTCAAACTTTGATGATATGTACACACACTATCATACCTCACCCCAGTTTATCATGCTATTTCCTACCATTTAAAGAAAAGCCTATATGAGACCTTATAATTGACACCACAGAAATACGAAGGATCATAAGAAACTGTTACGAACGATTACACACCAACAAATTTGATAACCTAGAAGAAATGGATACATTCCTAGAAACAACCTGCAAAAATTGAATCATGAGGAAATAGAAAATCTGAACAGACCAGTAATGAGGAAGGAGATTGAATGAGTAATGAAAATCTCCCATCAAAGAAAAGCTCAGGACCTGATGGCTTCACTGCTGAATTCTACCAAACATTTAGAGAAAAACTACTACAAGTCCTCCTCAAACGCTTCCAAAATATTGAAATTTAAACTCATTTTACAAGGCCAACATTAACCTGACCTAATCAAAAGCTAGGCAAGAACACTATAAGAAAAGAAAATTATAGACTGACATCTCTGACGAACATGGATGCAAGAATCCTCAACAAAATGCTGGTAAGCCAAATTCAACAGTTCATTAAAAAGACCATTCTCCATGATTAAGCGGGGTTAATCCTAGGACAAGAGTAGTTCAACATAGGCACATAATAAATATGATACAGCATATTAACAGAATGAGAGACAAAAACCATATTATTATCTCAATAGATGCTGAAAAAGCATTGAAAACATTTAACATCCTTTCATGGTAAAAACTCTCAACAAATTAGGTATAGAAAGAATGTACCTCAATACAATAAATGTCATACAGTATAAGTCCACTGCTAAATTATACTTAAGAGTGAAAATTTGAAAACTTTTCCCCTTAATGTTAGAAATAAGACAAAAATGCCCACTTGTCACTTCTATTTATTATAGTATTGGGAGTCTTAGCCAGAGGAATTAAGCAAGAGAAAAAAAAATGAAAGGCATCCAAATCCTACAGAAAAAATTAAATTGACTTCAGATGACATGATTTTATACATAGAAAACATTACAGACTCCACCAAAAAACTATAACATCAGTAAAGTAATAACATCAGTAAAATTTCAATGAACAAAATCAACATAAAAAATCAATAGCATTTATATATGCTAGTACAAACTATCAGAAAAAGAGACCCAGAGAGCAGTTTCATTTACAATAGCTACAAAATCATACTTAGCAATAAGCTTAACCAAGGAAGAGAAAGATCAGTAAATTGACAATTATAAAACATTGGTGAAAGAATTTGAAAAAAACACAAAAGGTCATTGCCTAGGCCAATGTCATAGAGCTTTCCCTTTATGCTTTATTCTGGTAGATTTATATAACAGAAAAATTCATATTGTTAAAAACTACCCATAACAATCTACAGATTCAATGCAATCCCTGTCAGTTGAATGACATTTTTCACAGAATTTTAAAAAAATTTTAAAATTCATATGCAACTACAAAATGTCCCAAATATACAAAGCAGTCCTGCGCAAGAAGAACAAAATCAGAAGCATCACACTATCTTATCTCAAAATCCACTACAAAGCTATAGTAATCAAAACAGCATAGTACTGGCATAAAAATAGACACATAGACCAATGGAACAGAATAGAGGACTCAGAAGTGAGTCTACACTTCTACAGTCAATTAGTTTTCAACAAGGATGCCAAGAACACACAAGGGGGATAAAGAAGTCACTTCAATAAATTATGTTGGGAAAACTGAGTACTACATGCAGAAGATAAAATGAGACCCTTATCTCACACTATATACAAATAGCAACCTGAAATGGATTAAAGACTGATACATAAGACCTAAAACTGTAAATCTAACAGAAGGAAGCATAAGAGGTAAAGCATTATAACATTGGTGTAGGCAATGACTTTTTGGATATGACCTCAAAAGCACAGGCAGTAAAAGCAAAAATAGACAGATGGGATTACATTACACCAAAAAAGTCTTCCCATAGGAAATGATCAACAGAGTGAACTGACAATTTATAGAATAAGGGAAAATATTGCATTTGCAAACCATATATGGGTTAATATCCAATACATATAAGTAAGTCAACTCAATGGCAAGAACACATGAGAGTGATCCACTGGTGTCCCAAAGGACAGTTCGATACCTTAGGTCAGAGGCATGGTAACTTAAAGAGCAAGAGGAAGTGAAAGGAAAAAGTAGAATAAGGAAACAGACAAAAAGAAAACACTCATTAGGAAGAAACAGCAGAAAAATCCTTTTATCATAAGGACATTTTCACTAGACTGTTTATTGCAGCTTAATTTATAATTGCCAAATCGTGGAAACAACCTAAATGCCCATCAACCCAGGAGAGGATAAACAGTTGTGGTATACAAATAGCAAGGAATACTATACAGCACTAAAAAATGGAGACTTTACATCTTTTGTATTAACCTAAATGGAGCTGGAATACATTCTTCTTGTAAAGCATCACAAGAATGGAGAAACGAGAATCCAATTCAGTACTCAGTTCTAATATGAAGGCAATAGATGATCTAATACAAGGGGAGGAGGTAGGAGAATGAGGGTAGAGGGGTGGAGGGAGGGGGATGGGGGTCATGGTGTATGGCACACCTCTTGGGGGCAGGACACAATTACAAGATGGACTTTACCTAACAACTGCAATCAGTGTAACTTAATACTTTGTACCCTCAATGAATCCCAAACAATTAAAAAAAAAAAGGAGAAAAAAAGGAGATAAGACACAGACACACAGATAGAAGGACCATGTGAAGTCATGAGAGAGGCCTCAGAAGGAACCAATCCTGCTGACAGCTGGATCTGGAACTTCCAGCCTCCAGAACCAAGAGAAAATAAATTTCTGTGGCTTAAGCCCCCACCTTACCCCCAGTCTATGGCACTTTGTTATGGCAGCCAAAGTTGACTACTACAAGTGTTAAACATTAAAGTATGTCAGAGGGAAATAGTTAAATAAGTTTTAGAATAGCTATAAAAAATAAAAAATGCTCAGAGGACCTGAATAGATAATTCCACAAAGAAGACAAAAAAATGGACAACATGTGTATGAAAACACCACTTATCATCAGAGAAATGCACATCAAAATCACAATAAGATATCACCCCACACCTGTTAAAATGGCTATCTGCAAAAAGAAGAAAGGTATGAAATGTTGGCAAGGATGTATAGAAAAGGGAAGCCTAGTACACTATTGGTGGGAATGTAAATTAGTATAGCCAAAATAGTATGGAGATTCCTCAGAAAGTTAAAAATAGAACTACTATAGGTCCAGCAGTTCCACTACTGGATATATGACCAGAAGAAATGAAAGCAGTTTTTTGAGGGAAATCTACACTCTCATGTTCATTGCAACATTATTCACAATGACCGAGATGTGGAATCAACCTGTGTCCATCAATAGGTGAGTGGACACACAGACACACACATACCCACATACACTTAACACATACACACATACAATGGAATAAGTCCCAGATCGGCCTTAAAAAAAGAAGGAAATAAATTTGCAAAAACATGATGAACCTGGAGGACATTATGTTAAGTCACATAAGCCAGGCACAGAAAAACAAATACTATATGATTTTTAAAAAGAAGAAGAAAGGTTTAACTCATAGAAGCAAAGAACAAAATAGTGATTACCAGGGGCTTTAGCAGGGGCTGGGGGCTGGAGGCAGGGACTGAGGAGACGTTGGCTAATGGATACAAAATTTCTGTTAGACAGGAGAAGTAAGTTCAAGAGATTATTTTAATAATTATTTAATGATGATGATGATGATAAAAAACCTTAGTCACATGAGAGGCAGTTTATTCAAGAGGTTTATTGTACAACATGATAACTACAGCGAATAACAATGTGTTGCATACTTGAAAATTGCTAAAAGAGTAGATTTTAAGTATTCTCACCATATACACAGAAAGACAATAGGTATGGGGGTGATACATAAGTTAATTAGATTGGCTTAGCCATTCTACAATGCATACATTTTTCAAAACATCATGCCGCACACCACACATATGCAATATTTATTATTTCAAAATAATAATAAAGAAAATCCAGCATGATCCCAAGCCCAATTTCATATATTTTTATAGAATACTTTTTTTATTCAATATATTTTATTCAGCTACCTTGGGCATGCTCTTGATAAGACCCCAAAAGATTTACATTTAATCAAACATAATTTGGTGTCGGTATATTATAGATCATCATTCTAGAGATTCTTAATGAAAATAAAAACCCAAGTGGTCAAAACAACACAGCTGTAAAAAAAAAAAAAATGTTTTCTTTAATTTATCTAATTTTGATGAGTGCTTACCATGTGCCATAAACTGATTTAATACAATCACCACCACCTGAATGGAAACTCGTATTTTATGTGGTAGAGATCTAGGAAGATGGTATCAGTCTCAATTGCTACCAAATTCATCAAACAAAAAAGAGAATGGGATTTGCAACCACTGTCCTTTTCTCTTTGTTTGTTTTTTCACTTCTCTCGGTTTGTGGCGTGAGGGTCCCTTATGTCTTATAAAAAATTTTCAGTAGTGTACTTCTTCATTAATGATATTATCTTGTATTATTAGTAAAAGGGGCAATGTAGTATTTTTAAAATGATACCAAACCTAGGGTATGCTCTTAGCTTGTGCCTGTGAAAGGTTAAAAGTTCTCCATGAAATTAATTTTTGAGATGAAAGAAGGTGGTTTCAGAATGCCTGCACATTCTGAAATGTGGTGACAATGCCCATTGCTCATGGCTTGATCACAGAATTACTGAAGCCTAGTTCTTGCATTGAATTTCCACATGGTTTCAGTTATCTAGGTCCCATGGCTGGGAACCTGACCAGTATGTCACAGCACAGCATCTTGGCCACGGGTAGATGACTGAGAATACCTAGATGAGGTGGTGTCAACACCAGTTCCAAGCGTGGAGAGCTGGAAATGCCCAGTAGGAGACCTTCTTATTTGGAACCAGATGCATTCTTTTCAGATAGCAAACAGGTCATGTGACTCAAGAACACACTTCAAACACCAATAGTACTAGATCTTTCCTATCCAAACATTTATGTTGAAAATTCTTTTCTCTTGGGGCCAAGCTTATGCCACTATACAATCCAAGCTGCAATCAACTATGAGGCTTTGTTAAGTATCATCCTTTCAACATGTTTCATTGTCAGGTTGAAACTAACTATAAATAACTACATAACTACACAGGGGTTACGTCCTTCGTGTTCACATGGATGGAGCTGGAAGGTGTTCTTCTTAGCAAAGTGTCACAGGAATGGAAGAAAAAGTATCCAATGTACACAGCCCTATTATGAAATTAATTTATAGTTTTCATATGAAATCTATAACCTAGTAACAGCCTAAGTATACAGGGAGGGGGGAGGGAGAGGGGGGGAATGGGTGGAGGGAGGGTTATTGGAGGGATCACTTCTATGGTTTATCTTACAAGGGTACAAGTGAATCTTTCTAAGAGTAGAATATGGTTGTCTTAACACAATAACTAAGAAAATGACATGAAGGCTATGTTAACCAGTTTGATGAAAATATTTCAAATTGTATATGAAAATACCACACTGTACCCCAGAATTGCATTAATGTACATAGTTATCATTTAATTAAAAAATAAATAAATAACTACGTAGAAGTTATTGAGATTTCTTTCCCTAAAGCTGCTCTGTGTCTGGGTGATTTTATAATCATTTAGTAAAACCACTGCATTGTGACCTGTTTTAAATGTTACAACTTGAGCTGCTGCTGCTGAAATTGACTCAAATGTTTTCTCTTCACAGGTATGAGAAAAATCTTGTCTTTGCCCAGCGTTGGGGAATTAGAAAAGGGATAGTGATGGGATTCTTTACTGGATACGTGTGGTGTCTCATCTTCTTTTGTTACGCTCTGGCCTTCTGGTACGGCTCCAAACTGGTCCTGGATGAAGGAGAATACACACCAGGAGCCCTCGTGCAGGTGCTTTGATCTCATTGACTTACGTAGAACATTTCCTGCTGGTATCTCAGCAAAGGCCGTAATAAGACATTCTGTTTATTCCTTTAATGTCTCACGGAAGAAAGCTTCTTCTCTAAGAAAGTCATCTGCAGAAGCAAGCGATACGTATGCATTTTATGGTAAAAAGGTGCCAAACGTTTGAATCGATAGGACCAACAATTTATTGATTTCCAATTAACTGAAGACTTTATAGTTGTAAAACAATGATTTTCTGACTGAGTCCAGGAGAAAATATGCTATGAAAGTGGAAAAGTCTGTGGTCTCCCAACTAAAGTATAATTGAGCTCATATAATCGAGCTTAACACACAGTAGTGGTACATGTTATGTGTTAATGGATACACATTGTGATACATAATGTTACTAAAATGCCAAGTCAATAATGTCCTTAACTGAGTAAGTAACACAAACATATTTTACTCTTCATTTGTGCTATTCCAGGCCACAGCTAACCATGGCTACCTTCGTTTTCAGTGCCCTTTGGTTATTCACTCAATAGGGACTTAACAAACATCTACTAAGTTCCAGACCCAAGGGCAGGAGGGATTCAATAGTGAGCAAAAGAAATATGATTTTTTTCTCCTGGTAGAATTTACAATTTAGCGGGGAAGACAAGTAATAATTAACCACATACATGCATAAAGACAGATGGTGACATGTGCTCTGAAGTGGAGAACAGGGAACCAGGACAGTGAACAGCGGGATAACCAGGTGTGGCCGGGGCCGGGGCGGGCCTCTCCTCCCATCTCCCCTCCCTAGGCCTTTCCTCTTCAGCTTCTGGCCCTCTCTTCACAGCAGGATTCCCTTCATTGCTGGGCTTCTCAGCTGAACGCCCTTTCCCAGTCAGGCCTTCCACTGATATTTACTGTTTTTTCTATCATGCTGTCCTTTTCCTTCAGAGCACTTGTGAGACATAGAATATTTACATGTGTTCATACTTGTCTCCACGCCTTCCTGCCTTTAGACAGTAAGGTCCATGAGGTCAGGGACGTCAAAAATTAAATATCTGTTTCATTTGGATGGGCAGGAAGACAGGAAGTAGTTTCTTGTAAGATTCTTAAGGAAAGTGTTTTGGCTTTAGATTCTGGATGAAACAGGCATTGATTAAATAATGAGAAATAGCAAAAGCTTTGCCAACTGAAAGCTTGCAGTTTGAGGTCTTCTACTTTAATCATATTTCTAAGGAAAACTGAATGAGATTTTGATCTGCAAATGGAAGTAATGATCAGTTCATTAAGAACATGATAACACCCTAGGAACGACTTTTAAAATTCAGTTCATCTTTGCAACATGAACAGTTGATATGACTTTGAAATTTGGTTACAAAAACCTAAGTATGATAATACATATTAAAGTGTTTTGTATACATAAATGGATCGTATAGATGGAAAGTATTACTGTTATCATAATTTAACTTCTTAGCAACTGAGATGCAGTTTTTCACACTGGAAAAGCCAGTAAAAGTCTTGCAGGTCTGAAATCTGACTACAATTTCCCTTGTCTTTATTGATCCAATTACGCCTAAGAACTTCTAACATTTACCAAATTAGGGACACCAGCAGTTGACTTTAGTAACAGCTGCTTATATCTGCTTAGTCTGCAAAAGGACATGTGTTGAAAAGTCACCCTTTCTTTCACTCCTTGCCTACAAGGAGAGGACACAGGTATGCACAAATCACAGTTCAAAGGGAAAAATGAATTGGAAAATTGAAAATTAAATAATACGCATTTCCATTTGGAAGCATTGAATAAAAATCCCCTGGGTAACTCTAGCAAGAATCCAATTTTATGGTTCTTAAGTTTCCTGCTAGTTGGACTGTGGCTACTCTATATTTTCTGCAAATAATTTATTCTTTCAACGGATATTCCTTGAATATTTACTGTGTGCAGACATGGCACACTCGTGTCTCTAACATTTCAATCATCAATGATGAACCACTTACTTCTAACCTCTTCCTGTAAACCTCTGCTTACACCTTGAGAAATTTTTCTCTGGGAAGATGACAGGCATCCTTCCACGGTATAATCCTCATTCGTGTTCTCTCTCTCTTTCTCTAGCAGACACGCATGCACACGCTCTGGGCTCTTGGTCACTCCTCTGAGCAGCAAACTATGAAGACCAAATATGCATGAGCCATATCCCTTTGTGTTCTAATCCACAAATTAATTAATTAACAATTAGGTTAATCTAGTCCATTTTGTGAGACACAAAATCATTACTGGTTGTGTGGTAATTGAGCATAAATGGTAAACAGATCATATGAATGTCTAACTAATGTCACCCGTGCACAGACAAAAAATGTACTCTGTGGTCTGTTAGGGAAAGATGAAGGGGAGCTTAATGGGGCAGAAGATTGCTTTTTCATGCCTCTCCTAAGTTTCAGGGTTCACTAATAAAAAAAAAATAATAATATTAGAGGGCAACATTTAATGTATACTGGTCTCATGTACTGAGTGAGGAATTTAATAAGATTATCATATGTAATGCTCACAACTTCACATTCTATTATCACTTAAAAAATGAAATGGAGGCCTGTGAGTTAAGGAACATGTACTAAGTGGCATTGAGCAGAATTTGAACTCATGTCTCTGTGGCTCCAAGGCCCTGCTTCTGAATCTGTCTCCCAAGGGGCCACAGACCCCCTTTTCTTCCACACACACTAGACTTACTGTTCCACAGCAGTGTCTCTTCCCATCTCTTTCCACACTACTGTCACAGTGTTAAAGAACACGGCATTTGGGGTGAAAAATTATAGCCTGCTGGGATGTGTGCTGGCTGCCATGATGGTATCTGGCAAGCGCCTCTGTCCTGGCTCGCTTGCTCCTCTCCTAAGAAGGCCCAAACCTCAATTTGTCCTTCAACAAGTCAGTTTAGACTTTAAACTGGGAGTCAGCAAACTCTGGTGGCCTGTTTTTATAAATAGTGTTTTATAGGGACATGGCCACAATCATTTATTTACATAATGTCTACGGCTACTTTTGTACTCAATGGCAGAGTTGAGTAATTGCTTCAGATGTAGCCTGAAAAGCCTAGAATATTTACTATTTGTTTCTTTATAGAAAATGATTGCAGACCCTGACCTAGGGTAGGATGTAGAAGGTTCCTTTGCTGAGGTAGGAAGACCTCTGATGAGGGGAGTTGTAAAGCAAAGGAGATATACAACTGTTTTGTCTGCCCCCCTTACCACCTTATAAGTGTGGAACCTGGATACTTTCATCATCACTGCTATTAAGTAACTAGAATGGGTTAATCATCTTTACATACATTATCTCATTTGATTTATGTAACAATCCTATGATTGTTGTAGTCATTATTCCTGTGTTACACATGAAGAAATTAGGGCTTGAAATATTAAGTCATCTGCCCATGGGAGGAACCACCTGCCCTAAATGAGGAAAAGGACACATGGAGAGTGATGTTTGTCCCCACACAGAAGCTGGAGAATTCAGGGAGGAGGGGTGAGCTCCCTGTTAATCCTCCCGATTGTGCGTTGCTAACCAGGGAAGGGCATAGCTGGAGGCTCAGAGGCTCTGAGACTTTGCACGGCCCAGCCACCCCAGCCACTGGAAGAAGGAGCAATGAGAGACTTTGAGGTAATTTGCTCTGATGTGACATAACCAGTGGAAAGGGTCTGGCCCATGGGAACCAGCACAGACTGGGATTATTTGATTACCTAAAAAAGACTACATTCAGGCAGGAGCCAGTCTTTAGCTTGGCAATAGACTGTGGCCAATGGTGCGTCCTCATTGTGTGTCATATGAGTAGCACGGTTCTTTGGCAGCATGGAGGGGACGAAATTTGTCCTCTCCCTAGAGGCCAACTCGAGGAATTGCCTCCTTGTTTCTTCCTCGTTTCTATAAACAATAATGATAAAATCAAAGGCCTATTTGGTAGGAACATCTGGTCATGATCAGGTCGGTTTCCCTTAAGGTAATGAGAGGGCTGTGTTGGTGAGTCACAGGGGAGCTGCCTGAGCTCTGCGTAGAGACAGTCAATTCACCTGCATGCAGCCATCAGCAGGTGAGGCTAGGAGCTAGGAAGAATGGCAGTCAAGAGCCTGAGTTCAAATACTGATCTACTACTTATTAAATGTTGTGACTTAGGGCAAATTAGGAAGCCTTCATACAAGTCTGTTTCCCATTCTGTTGTAAGGATTAAATGCAGTAATACAGATAAGGCACTTAGAAACATACCTTGTCATTATTGCTATTAGGGGTAATAGTGGTCATATTGATAGTTATCCTAGTGACTAGTGTGCTAGTAGCAGGAGCAGCAAATCAGGTTTGCATGTGCCCACCTCTGGGACAGTCAAGGTGATCTTAGTGTCTTTATTGGTTTGGCAACCCTTCAACCAGAAAACCATTGCATGTCTGATTATATAACATATCAAATTCTCATATTGCTGTTTTAACCCACTTTGTTTCTATATGCTATATGCTGCCTTGCTTAGATCTCTTACTCATTCCAAAACAAGTTTTACTTTGGGGAAGAGAGATGTTTGGTAAAAAATAATGTAGTATTTTTAAGTCATAGCAATGGAAAAATTGGAGATGCTTTACAGAATGGAGATTATTCCAGATGTTTCCAAACAGCCCAAGAGCTATTTAGCTTTCTTCTCTCGTGGAAGAATATTTCTGAGAAATCTAAGTTCACAGGGATGGCCCAAATGATAGCACCAATACACTTGGAGAAAAACACATGAAAATTCCCTTGTTCTTTTCATTTCAGATCTTCCTCAGTGTCATAGTAGGAGCTTTAAACCTTGGCAATGCATCTTCTTGTTTGGAAGCCTTTGCAACTGGCCGTGCAGCAGCTGCCAGCATTTTTGAGACAATAGATCGGGTATGTAAAAGCCAAAAGTAAAGACTGTGAACAGGGGGGAGATTGAGGGAATGAACCCGGAAGAATTTACCTTCAATATTTGAAAATAAGAGGAGCTATCGCAAGACCCTTGATAAAGCAGTACTTACCAAGTGTTGAGCTGGGCCTGATTCTAAGAGTGGAGGGTACAATAGTGAACTAGAACAAATAAGGCCCCTGCTGTCTTACTCAGGCTGGGGGCCGTCAATGGAGCAGGAAGCACATTCAAAGATAAGACAGTAGCACACAGGGGTCTGTACAATGAAGGAAACAAAACAGGGCAATGTGACAAGGTAGGAGAGGGAGTCTTTAAACTGGGTGGCAGTGACGGCAGCTCTGAGCAGGTACCATTTGAGCTGAGCAGGTGCCATTTGAGCTGAGCAGGTGCCATTTGAGCTGAGAACAAAAAGGAGGATCAGCCATATAAAGGTCTGTGGAAGGGCGTGAGTGTGAGAGAGGTGCAAGGCAAGAGCGAGCAGGGAGGGTATTCGTGGAAGAGAGATTCCCAGGTTGGGAAAGGGCTAGTGAATTCAAGAAGCTGAAGGAGTCCAGTGGGACTGAACAGAGTAAGCAAGGGCAGAGGTTGGAGGCACGGGATAGGCCAGACCATGGGGGACTTTAAGGCCAAGTTTTTAAGGCTGGATTATCTTCTAAATATGGCAGCAATCTCTACAAGTTTGTAAAGGACCTTGGTAGCCTGACCAGGATTTTTCTGGTTAGTCTATTGAAGCAACCTGGAGGCCAGGCTAAGGAATCAAAATCCAACAACAGAAGCGGAATTTGGCAACTAGTTATTCTTTCTCTCCAAAAAAAAAAAAAAAGTTCTGGGCTGAGAGCCAGAAGTCCTGCAAATTCAAAGATAACGTGTGGGTCCCTCTGAACTCTGAGTAATTTATACAAAACAATAAGGCTGTAACCTACCTAAGGAAACTATGCATCACTTTATCTGTTTTATATTTCGGGGTTTCATATATTGGCATATAGAAATATTGTGGAAACTACATAAAATTGTTGATCTAATTCTACCTCATTCTTAGAGTTGTTATATATTCACATGAGATGCTGACTCTAAAAGAGCCCTGAAACTAGTATAAAAAATTAAGGCATTTAAAAATTATTTTATTGTCTTTAGTAGAGACCCAAGAAGAAGGACATAAATTATAATATACTCCTAAGTTGAGCTGGGGTGATGAAATTCTATCCCTTAGTTGTGGAAGAGAGAAGGAGCTGATCTTGGAGTATGGTGGTAGAAGGAGGTTGGCCTCACTTTTGTCTAATAAATTAGAATGGTTAAATTCTAGGTTAGGCTCACTACTGACAAGACATAAAATTCAGTATATCTGTTTAAAGTTGATATTATTTGAAGACAATGCTTAAGAACACTCAGTTTTAATCATTATCTGCAATAGATACTCAATGTAGAATACCCTTGGACCCTCGGTTGGTTGACTAGTTGTGTGGCTTAGGTAAGACACTTCATCTACCAAAAATCCCTCTTTTTTAAATGAAAAATGGGCATATCACTTGTCTAGTTAGGTTATGGTGACAATTACATAAATGAAAAAAGTACCTTGAAATACCCTGTGCATTGATTCCCTATGATATTATCTCAGCAATATAATAACATATAATATATATTAATATTGTTATGTATCATACATTAAATTAGTACTATCTGATAATTAAATTATATAATAGCACTATCTTATATGCTATCTCATAATAACTCAATAATAGTAAATAAATTATAGCATATATCTCAATATATCATATATAATATTAATGTATAGTAATATAATATCTCATAATAATATCTCAGTAGGTAGTAGTATTACCACTATTATTAATAAATACCTAATATGAAAGCAACTTATCTTTTGCATATCTCTGTAATGTTTCCTGTTTCCTCTGGTTATGGCTGTTTTACAGGTAAATTTAAATCAAGATGGGCAGTAAATACAGTACAGATAGCACATGTTGTTGCTATATCCCTTTCATATTCCTCTGCAGAAGCCCATCATTGACTGCATGTCAGAAGATGGTTACAAATTGGATCGAATTAAGGGTGAGATTGAGTTCCATAACGTGGCCTTCCACTATCCTTCCAGGCCAGAGGTGAAGGTGAGTGCATTCATTTCCAGAGTCAGAGATTGCTTATTTTCTGAAGGCTGACTCAGTTCCTAAGAACAAGGAAAGGAGGCGTGTTTTTCTGGAAGTGTCCCTGAGTGTTGCGTCATCTTGGGTGACACACCAAATTCCTTTGTGATACCATCCTATGCAAATCCCTGTGGTTGGAACATTGTGGCTGCACAGGCTAAGTGAACTGTAGGGCACTCTGTTGACATGAGTGGCAGGTCCTGTTATTCCAAGCACATGTCAGATGAATGTGAGGGTGAGACAACCAGAGCAATCAGGCAGGGAAGCTTCAGCCCTGCCTCCCTGGAGCCCAGAGCCAGAGGGAGGGTGTGAAGTAGTAAAGCAAAGCTGCTCTTTGTGTAGACTTTTACTTCCCTTCTGTGAGTTCGCAGGGTATGGGCAGGCATCCTTGCAGTATTGCTCAGAGTGCTTGTCCAGGGCACATGCTGAAGAATATTTAGTTTCCGGCCTTGAAGGCATCTTTAAAGGCAATTTACAGGAAAATTGGGGTCTACTCCCTCTGAAAGAATTGGTTTTGAAATGAAACTTAGTCCTCATTTTTAACAGAGTATTTCTAGGCACTCTTTCTCAATAATACTTGTTATCCCCAAAGGACTAAATCCATCTTGTTTTTGTGGCTTAATTCTGACATTACATACCTATATGTGAATATACATATACGTGTGTGGGTGTGTATAGAGAGGATAAACAGATATATAATGCAGATAAATATTTATATTATGTAATATTTATAATATATGTAAATGTTTATATATTTACTTAAATTATATATATACACACACATGCCTATTTATAGGTAAATGTACATATATCTATAACTATACATTCAAATATATAAACATATTATAAATATATCTATGTTTAAGTATATTACATAAATAACTACAAAGTAAATATTATATATTCTGATTTTATATTTGAAGTTGATTTTTATTATTATCTACTACATATGTACCTAAACATCAAATGTCACAATATACGTAAAAGTGCTTTATAACATATAAATCACAAGGTTGTCCACACTCACTCAGTAAACATATATATATAGTTTTGTTTTGTTATTTTGTGTTTTTGAGACAGAGTCTCACTCTATCACCCTGGGTAGAGTGCTATGGCATCATCATAACTCACAGCAGTCTCAAACTCTTGGGTTCCAGGGATCCTCCCCGAGTGGCTGGGATTACAGGCACCCACCACGACACCTGGCTAGTTTTTCTATTTTTAGTAGAGATGGGGTCTTGCTCTTGCTCAGGGTAGTCTCAAACTCTTCACCTCAAGGGATCCTCCTGCCTCAGCCTTCCAGAGTGCTAGGATTACAGCCATAAGCCACCACTCTTGGCCTCAGTAAATATTTTTTAATGGATGGCTAAAACTTTATAGCTCATAGCTGCTCAACAAATACTAGTTGAATTGAAACACATTTATTTTACTTTTCTAGTATGTATTTAGCCCTGCTGGGTGCCACATTGTACTGGGACTGTGATGATAAGAAAGCACACTCAGTCCCTGCCTTCCCCGGCAAGTTTACAGTCCAACACAGGGCCAGGAAGCAAAAATATGTCACAAGTTTGACTTTCCAGGGTGAAGCGAAAGGTAGAAAATTTTGTTACACAAAGGACTCCCAACCACATTTTTCATAATCAGCACAAAAATCACCTCTTAGTTGGTGAAAATATCTGAAAGATAGTTACAAATCAGTTTCTTTTTCTTTCCTCCGAAGACATACCAGCATTTGGTCCGTACTTAGCAAACATACCACGAACATTTATTAGGTAAGCTTACTCAAATTAGATGTTTGCATACCACACAAGTGTGTGACAGCTTAAAATCTGAAAACTTGTTTATTTCTTGTCCACGATTAGTAAATTAGTATTGTATTTCTAACTTACCGGGTTTTTTCATTAACTGCTTGGCACGGTCTTCTGACCCTGCTATGTCAGAAGTATATTAAGTTAGATTTTGGAACATAATAGTACAGTTATTATTTACTTCAGCCATGTTAACGTGCATCATTTCATTTCTTAGCCACAGCTAGACCCTAAATAATTCAGCAGCTAGACCCTAAAACCTCATCCTAGGCTCTGTTCTCTTTGGCTGGTTATTGATGGATATTGATGTATGTTGCTTTGGGGACTCATGTAAACGCACAGAGCAGCCTCACAAAGCACCCTTACCTGTCCCTCAGTTGTTTGATTTGATGCTCTGTAACAATCTGAACTTTACTGTTTTTTTTTCTTCTCCAGATTTTAAATAATCTCAACATGGTCATTAAACCAGGGGAAATGACGGCTCTGGTAGGATCCAGTGGAGCCGGGAAAAGTACAGCTCTACAGCTCATTCAGCGATTCTACGACCCCTGTGAAGGCATGGTGTGTGTCTTCTAGAAACTTCTCATTACCCAGGAGCAAGAGAGTGCAAATGGCAGTACAGAGGGTTTGCCAAAAATGTGTATACCATTTTAAGAAAGGAAAAAAGTGTATTAAAATTATAACACTCAAGTCACATTTGACTTCTACAATTATAAGAAATGCTCAAATGTGACTTACATTCATCTTTTGTTATCAATATATATTGAGTATTACAATTTTAATGACAGTTATTTCCTTTCTTAAAGTATATATATATTATTATTATTATTTTTTTTTTTTGGTACTCTCTGTATATTAGTCAAACACAAAGGCCTAGCACACACTGAGACTATTCTGGAAAATGTGCAGTTGACTTAATGATTTATTACTGAATTGATTAAACAAACTCTCTTCATGGTGACAGTGTTCACTGATTTCAATGAAGTCAATTCCATTCCCTGAGTGATATAACTGAATTTGCAAACACAGTCATGTGCAGCATAATGATATTGGGTCAATGACAGGTCACTTCTATGATGGGTCACATCTATGACAGTTAATTTTATGTCCCATAAAGTTATAATGGAACATATATAGGAACCAGATATGCATATGGCACTTGGTACTGGAAGTGCAGATAAGTTAGGGGGAATGCTGATATTTAATAATGGTACTGTGACATTTGGTTTTCTATATGACAAATATAAAAATAAAAATGTACACACCATCTAGGTTAGTATACGCTAACGTGTTCACACAATGACAAAACTGCCTCATGATGCTTCCTCAGAAAATATCGCTGTTTTTATTTTGTATTGTTATTCTTTATGGTGTCATTATCCATTTTTTTACATAAGTTAATTTTTATGTCCAAGCACAAGATAATGAAATATATTTTCCATGCAAAATATTATATACATTAAATAACATACAGTGGGAACAATGCAGTGTATGTTTCCTGGGAAGCAGACTCTGTGATAGAAATAACATGTGAAATGTATTTATTGGGCAGTGCTGTCTAGATGAGGACCAATGAGAGTGGAAGACCAAAGCAGGATAGAGCAAGACGCTGAACTCTATTAAAGTCCCGACAAATGTCTCAGTTAATCCCTTAAGGAACCTCTGAAGTTAGGAAAGCCCCTCAAAGATGTCTGAATTGAGGCAATGGCCAGTCTTTGGGTATCTGCCACCCCACAAACATGAACCTTGAATGAGATGACTCTCTTGAGCCAGGGACAATTTCCAGACAGGAACTCAGCAGAGAGCAGCCAACTACCAATAGTCCCAGTAGCTGAGGGAAGGAGTGCTTCAGTCTCAAAAGGGTTGGGGAATCTGGGAAGCAAATTATTGCATCAACTACAGATGATCAAAAAGAACAATACATAATTTATACTCTATAGCAAAGTTCTGCCTTAATCCCAGCTACAATTGAATTTAAAATTATGAAAAGGTAAAATTCTAGCAAGAAAACAAAGAAACCACCTGAAATGCCAGCTACTGGAATTACGGAAACTTTGACAGTAAAAGAGAAGAAACACTCTCTGCTATTTAGAGCCCCCCCCCCCAAAAGGCCTCTAAATAGTAGGAAGAATTATTTTCAGGAATATTCATTTTTTTGCAAAGTCTCAAAATATAGACAACCAATATTTATAAATAGAAATAGAAGATAATTTCAAAAAACACATCATGCCAAATCTTATAGACAATAGAAAAAAAGAAATACTTCAAATTCATTCTACTTCATCTGGATATATCCGATATTAAAATTGGAAAAATATATTATTATAAAGGGAAATTACAATCATATTTCACTTATAAATGAGGATACAGTATCCTAAACAACATATTATCAAGTTGAATTAAAAATTATTGTTCAAATAATGTACTTTGGTCAAAATTAAATCCAACTTATGTGAGAATTAGTCGCTATTTTCTTTCTTTTTTCTTTTCCTTTCTCTCACCCCTCCTTCTCTCTCTGTCTGCTCTCCCCTTCCCCCACCCCCACCATGTCATTAATTGTCATTAATTGTCCTTATATCAAAGTTGAATACATAGGATTCATGCTTCTCCATTCCTATGATGTTTCACTAAGAATCACGTGTTCCACCTCCATCCAGGTTAATACAAATGCTGCAAAATCTCCATTTTTTTAATGGCTGAATAGTATTCCATGGCATACATATGCCACAGCTTGCCAATCCATTCCTGGGTTGAGGGGCATGTAGGCTGTTTCCACATTTTGCCGATTATAAATTGAGCTGCAATATTCAGTCTAGTACAAGTGTCTTTATAATAAAAGGTTTTTTTCCCCTTCTGGATAGATGCCCAGTAATGGGATTGTAGGATGAAATGGGAGGTCTAGGTTGAGTTCTTTGAGGTTTCTCCATACTTCCTTCCAAAAAGGTTGTATTAGTTTGCAGTCCCACCAACGGTGTAAATGTTCCTTTCTCTCCACATTCGTGCCAGCATCTGCAGTTTTAAGATTTTTGTGATACAGGCCATTCCTGCTTAGACGATATCTCAGTGTGGTTTTAATTTGCATTTCTGTAATAATTAAGGATGATTAGCATTTTTTCATGTGTTTGCTAGCCATTCATCTATCTTCTTTAGAG